TTGAGCCAGGAGGCGTCACGACACAGACCGCTCAGCTGCTCATTCAATAGGCCCTCCTGTTCGGTGAAGGACTTCAGGATGGCTGCAGGGGGAAAGGAGAGGGGGAAGGGGGGGAGAGGGGGAAGGGGGGGAAGAGGGCGAAGGGGGGATCAAACGAGCAATGAAGCCGAATGCAGCAGATACCTGTGATAGACGGATACTCCAAGAGAAGACGAATGCGAAGGGGGCAGGGGGGCAAAACCCTACAGCGACAGACAGACAAACCAACCGGTGGCGCAGGTGGCCGGGAGGTGCACACGTACCCTCGCGGCGGCGGGCCTGGTACACGGTCTTCATGTTGCGATCCTCCAAACGGAACTCGTCGCGGAAGCCCCGACCGCCGCCTCCGCCGCCGCCGACCCCGCTGGCGGCGGCGCCGGTGCCGCCAGCGGCGGTCTCCTCCTCCATGCCGCCCGCCTCCGCCGCGTCCGCCGCCGCCACCTGGCCGCCCGTGACCCGCGGGCCCCGGGTGCGGCCGGGGCTGGTGGCTCCAGGGTGGGTGCACCTTCCGGACGGGGAGGGGGGAGGAGGATGCAGGGCTGCCACTTGCCCCCTACTTCAACCCTCATGCGCTGTACCGCCGTTCTAGCAGCAATAGTAGTAGCAGCAGTAGCAGCGATAGGGTCCTGCGGCTGGGCAGCCCTGCAGTCCCCAACCACCCACCTCTTACATTAGAGACAGTGACCGACCGACCAGCCGGGCTGCTGCTGCTGCTGCTGCTGCCAGCACCCTCCCGCTCCCCTCCCGCTCCCCTCCCGCTCCCCAACACCCCCCAAGGCGCCCCCACCTGAACAGCAGTCCCGCCAGGCCGTGCGGTTGGTCCAGTCCCACCTCCCGGCGGTGCCGCCTCTCCGCCTTCGAGAAAGTCCGGTCCAGACCCCCCTGCTCGCGAGCTAACTCTCGACGGAGCCGGTCCACCTAAATTGGTGGTGGGGGGGGAGGGAGGGCAGGGGAACGGCGGGGATGGGAGGGGTGGGGGGAGACGAACCACGAGCGAGTGAAGCTGATGCCAAGGAAAGAGACCGCTGCTGAGGCAGATGTAAAGAAAGCATAACCAACCAGTCGACGGTTGTAAAGAAGCCGTCCTCGGGATGATGCAGAGTGACGACGACCGCGGTAACCCACCTGCCTACCTACCTACCTAGCCCCGGCACGACTAAAATAAGTGCGGAAGGAAGAGCAGCAGACCCAAGCCGTGAAATAGGCGATGGAGAGGGGTAGGGGCTGCCGGGACCGGGGAAGAACGGACAGGGGACGGTGGTGATTGACCCGCAGGTGCCAAGAGGGCGACCGCACGCGTAGCGAACCCCCGTCGCGGACTGTTTGGGTGTCCCAACGGAGACAACGGGGGGCTGGCGGGGTACGACGAAGCACGGGTGATTGACGAGAAGAAGAAGGGCAGGCGGGGGCAAGCGGCTTCCGGGCGACGTGGACTATCAGGCTATGGAGGGCGACAGGACAGGAAGGGAAGCATACGTCACAACAGGCGAGGATGGGAACGTGCGCTTTTTACGGTTTTGATTTCTTATTAATGATAAGATTCGGATATGGCTAATCCCATTTGGGCGGGAAGCTGGGCCTAAGGAGGGGGGTGAACGGGAAGGGCCCAGAGCGAGGTGAGGTGCGATGTCCAAGGGGGCATCAAGACGAGAGGCTTCCCTATCCCACAGACCTCCCATCACCTCCCATTCCCCGATAAACATTAAACCCGTCCGCCCTCCCCCCCTCCCCCCCAAACACNCAC